ATAAATAAATAAATAAATAAATAAATAAATAAATAAATAAATAAATAAATAGATAAATAAATAAATAAATGAATAAATAAATTTATAATAAAGAAAAAGAATATTTATTTAATTATATATATTATTTATTAATATAAATATAATTATATTGTGTCTTTATAAAGACACACATATATATAAATATTATTTAGGTGTATATACACCTAAATAATATTATAATAGTATAACTAATAAATAATATACTAATAATATAATTAACAATTATATATATAATAAATAAATAATAAATAATAAATAATAAATATTCTATAGGTGTATATATAGACACACCTGTGGGGTGTACGTACACCTCAGGTGTATATATTATAACTATTTATTTTTATCTCTTAATTATCTTATTTGCGGTGTATAGGCAGCTAAATAAATAAATAAATAAATAAATAAATTTATTAATTATTAAATAATAATAAAGAAAGGGAGGGACAGATTAGCTAGTAGTTTTTGCTGCTGCAGTATAGAGGAGACAGTTAATACAGACAGGGGAACAACGCAGATAACGAGCAGCAGCAGCAGCAACACTAGCAGCAGCAGCAGCAGCAACAGCAACACCAGCAGCAGCAGCAGCAGCAGCAGCAGCATTAGGGCCTATATAAAGGACACACAGTCACCGTGACTAGCGAAGGAAGATCGTCCTTATCGTGCTGCAGCAGAAATGTTCCTCCTGCTGCTGCTGCTGCAGCAGCAGCAGAAATGTTCCTTCCCCTGCTGCTGCAGCAGCAGTAGCTAGGGCAGCAGCAACGATGACTGCAACAGCAGTCGCTGCAGTAGTAGTGACACCACCAACAGTAGCAGCACCAGCAGCAACAGCAGCTACACGCCCACCAGCAGCAACAGCAGCTAGACCAGCAGCAGCAGCAGCAGCAACAGTAGCAACTAGAACATTAACAATGCCAGTAGCAGCAGCAAAACCAACAGCTGCAGCAGCAACAACAGCAGCAGCAGCAGCAGCTAGACGAAATTATTTATCTCTCTCCCTAATTGTCCCCTTTATTCTGCTGCAGTTGCTGCTGCTGCTGCAGACACTCTAAAGAGAAACAGTTATAACTGCAACTGCTGCTGCTGCTGTTGTTGCTGCTGCTGCATCGCATGCAGGTAGCGCATGCATCGGGGCCCTATGCGCTGAAACACCAGCAGCAAATACGAGTTTAATTATATTTAATTAAATTTAATTATAATTTATTATTTATTTATAATAAAAATAATTAATTATTTGTTATTTAATAAGGGATAACTAGCAGCAAGACCGCCCCCCACGATCCTGCTGCTGCTGCAGATATAATAGCAGCAGCAGCAGCAGCAGCAGCAGTCGCGGAAGTAGCAGCGCTGCCTTCTGCAGCGATAAGGCAAAGACACACCCTTAAGGGCTTTGCTGCACCCCTATAGTTTATCCTTCTGCGTATCCACAGCAGCAGCAGCAGCAGCAGTAGACCAGCAGCTGCTGCAGCCGACCCCCCAGTAATACGGCCTATCGCTGCTGCTGCTGCTGCTGCTACTGTTGCTGCAATGGTTACTGCTGCTGTTGTTGTGCTGGAGGGCGGTAGCCTGCAGCCCTAGTAGTTCGTAACTTCTGTGGAGCAGCAACTGCAGCAACTGCAGCAGCTGCAGCAGCAATAACCACAGCAGCAGGAATAGCGGCGGCAGCAGCAGCAGCTGCTGCTGTTGCAGCTCAAGCAATGCTACATTCGCTGCGCAGAGTCAGAGGTCGCCTGCCGCTGCAGCTGCCAGCAGCAAATCGTCCAGCAACTGCAGCAGCAGCAACCAATGTAAGAACGCACAGTACAGCTGCAGCAGCTGCAGCAACAGCAGCAGCAGCACCAGCAGTATCTGCAGCAGCAGCAGCTCCTGCAGCAACAGCAACATGGACTCACCTTCGTGCATTGCACTCTGCTGTTGGTCAGGAGAAAGGGATTGCAGGAGAAACAACAGCAGTAGCAGCATCTGCAGCAGCAGCATCTGCAGCAGCAGCAGCAACAGCAGCAGCAGCAGCTGCTGCTGCTGTTGCTCGGCCGCCGTATGAAGCCCCTCTTGGGAAGGGCCGTGGAAAGCCTCTTAAACAACGAAGCCTCTCACAGCAGCGGAAGCAGCAGCAGCAGCAGCCGCAGGAGCAGCAGCAGCAGCAACAGCAGCATCAACAATGGCCGCAGCAACAGCAGCAGCAGCTGCATCAACAACATCAACAATGGCAGCAGCAGCTGCAGCAGCAGCCACAGGAAGGGGGCTTCGTGGGTGTCTCCAGAAGCAGCTCCTGCTCCCCTGCAGCAGCAGCAGCAGCAGCAGATATGCAGCTAAGACAGCCGACGTGGCAGCAGCAGCAGAAGCAGCAACAGCAGAATGCAACACTGGCTGCTGCGCAGCAGGCCGATGCTAAAATACAGCAGCAAATCTCTTGGCTGCTGCAGTACCGCATGTGGCAGTACCAGGCGCAGCAGCAGCAGCAGTGGCAGCAGCAGCAGCAGCAATGGCAACAGCAGCAGTGGCAGCAGCAGCAGCAGCAGCAGATGCAACAAGCCAACTATGGTCATCCTCTTGGAGATCCAGGGCCTGCAGTAGGTTGGGGCTGTGCTGCGGTGCAGCAGCAGCAGCCTCAGCAGCAGCAGCAGCAGATGCAGCAACAGCAGCAGATGCCGCACAATGGATCTCCCTATGGTGTACATCCAGTTGTGTGGAGACCTCCAGACTGCTCAGAACAGCAGCAGCAGCAGCAGCAACTGCAGCAGCAGCAGCAGCAGAAACGGATGTCTGCAGCAGAACGCAGACTGCAGCGGCTGCAGAAGAAGCAGCAGCAAGAAGAAGAATACGAGCAGCTGCTGCAGCAATTCAAGCAGAAGCCAAAGGAATGGGCTGCTGCTGCAGCAAAGGCGAGTCGTAGAACTGCCAGCAGCAGCAACAACAACAACAACAACAGCAGCGGCAGCAGCAGCAGCACCAGCGGTACACGCTCTCGGGTAGCCCGTAGAACTGTGTTGCAGCAGCAGCGGCAGCAGCTGATGCTGCAGCAGGGCCGCAGCAGCAGAAGGCTTCCTGCGCGTGCTACGCGTCGCAGTGACAGCAGCAGCAGCAGCAGCAGAAGCAGCATTGACGATTGCTCTGCAGCAACCGCAGCAGGAGGACCAGGAAGCAGCAGCAGCAGCAGCATCGATGATTGCTCTGCTGCAACCGCAGCAACAGGGCCAGAAAGCAGCAGCAGCAGCAGCAGCAGCAGCAGGTACTTTGAGCCATACTGGTCAAAGGAGACAGCAGCAAATGCTGCTGCTGCAGGATTAGCAATAAAGGGGACAATTCATATACCTGCAACAAAGACAGAGAGAGCAGTAAGGCAATTCAGTAACTGCTGCTGCTGTTGCTGCTGCTGCTGTTGTTAATGTTGCTGCTGTTGCTGCTGCTGCAGGCATTGTTGTAGCCCCTGCTAGTACTGCTGCTGTTGTTGCTGCTGCTATTCTGCCTAATCATTTGTGTATCTGTTTATATGTATTTATGTATATATTTGCAGCTATTATTGGTACGTCCTTCTTCTTTATCTGCTGCTGCTGCTGCTGCTGCTGCTGCTCCTTATAAGGTGTATATACACCCGGAGACACGGGAGTGTCTGCATGCATTTGAAGTTGGCGGATTTATAAATCGCAACAGAGCGATGCATGCAGATCTAGTTATTGCTACTTTTGCATGCAAAATTCTTACAGAGGATGCATGCACCAACCTGCTGCAGCAGCTGCAGCAGCAGCAGCACGGGGAGCAGCAACAGGGGGAGCAGCAACATAGGGGGGAGCAGCAACAGAAGGGGGAGCAGCACCAGCAGCAACAGAGCGTTGTGCTGCAGCAGTTGGAGGGCGACTCCCGTGGACAGTCAATGAAGGGAGTTGCTTCTCCTGCTGCTGATACACCTGCTGCTTCTGCGGATGCTGATGCTGATGCTGCTGAGTTGGATAGGCCTGCTGCTGCACAGGCAAGTGGTGCTGCAGCAACAGAAACAGCAGCAGCAACAGAAACAGCAGCAGCAACAGAAACAGCAACAGCAGAAACACCAACAGCTACAGCAACTACAGCCGCAGCAGCAGCAGAACCAGCAACGGCGGGTCGACGGCGGCAGACCCGCAGCAGCAAACTATCCAGGGGGGAAGGAAGCCGTTGCAGCAGTCCCCTGCAGCAAGAGAAGCAGCAGCAACAGCAGCAACAACCACCGCAGCAGCAGCTGCAGCAACTGCTGCGACCTACATGCCGCGTGGTGTATATAGTAGAGAGAGGAGCAGCAACAAGAGAGATTGTTGCAGCAATACAGCCGCATCTGCATGCAGCAGCAATTCGCCGCTTCTTACGGCAGCAGCAGGTGCAGCAGCAGCTGCAGCACCTGCAACAGGATGAGCAGCAGCAGCAGCAGCAGCAGCAAGTGTCGTTGCAAGACATGGCTACTGTAAAAGCTCAACCAAGGTGCGTCTCCTCTTGTTGCTACATCTCTGCCGTGTTGAGTACGCAGCAGCAGCAGCAGCTGCAGCTGCTGCTGCTGCTGCTGCAACAACTTCAGCAGCAGCAGCACATGTGCCTCATTGCGTTACATTTGTTTCTTGTCTTTGCTGCCTCAGAGACAGCCGACTGCCGCCCTTCCGCGTCCCTCTGCTGTCTGTGCTGCGCGCCGTGCAGCAGCAGCAGCAGCAGCAGCAGGAAGGAGAGAACTCATTGGAGGCAGCAGCAAGATATTTGCTGTCTCTTGCGGGCTCGTGCAAATCTCTGCTAGTGTTGCTGCAGCGTGGGGATTGGCCGCTGAACATGAAGTCTCCAGAAGCAGCAACAGCAGCAGCAACAGCAGCAACAGGAGCAGCAGCAACAGCAGCAGCAGATGTGTCTATAATAGGAATAAAAGGAGACACAGCAGCAGAAGCAGACACAGCACTGCAGCTAGCTGGCTTAGAGTTTAGAGATTTCCCTCCGCAGGTGTATAGGCAGCTGCAGCAGCAGCTGCATGCTACCTGCCCATACACCGGAAATCCTTTGTGGCTGCAGCAGGCAATTGACAGCAACACTCGCATTGATTGCAGGCAGCAGCAGCAGCAGCAACAGCAGCAACAGCAGCAACCAACTGCTGCGCAAGAACCGGGGTTAAGCTTCTTTCCTTTGCTGCCAGAAGCAGCATCAGAGGCAGGTGCTGATGCAGCAGCAGCAGCAGCAACAGAAACAGCAGCAGCAGCAGCAGCAGCAGTAAAGAAGCTGCCTCTTCGTATCTTTAGTATAGATCCTCCAACAGCAAAAGACCTTGATGATGCAATCAGCATCCGCATGTTGCCCTCCCCTGCTGCACTTGCTGCTGCTGCTGCTGCTGCTGCTTCATCATCATCATCAGCAGCAGCAGCAGTAGCACCAGCAGCAGCAACAGCAACAGCAGTAGCAGCAGCAGGTTTAGAGTATGAATTAGGTGTGCATGTAGCGGATGTTTCTTCTTTTGTTCCTCTTTCTTCTCCATTAGATTTAGAGGCAAAAAGAAGAGCAACAACTATTTATCTAGAAACAAAGTAATTGCTGCTGCTGCTGCTGTTGCTGTTGCTGTTGCTGTTGCTGCTGCTGCTGCTGTTGCTGCTGCTGTGGCCTTTCTTGCGATAGTTGCTGCTGCTCTTGCTGTTGCTGCTCCCCCCTTTCCCTGCTGCTGCTACTGTTGTTTCTTCGGGTATCTGTGTTACTGTTACCACTGTGGTCCCATTACTACTACTGTTGCTGCTGCTGCTGCTGCTGCTGCTGCTGTTGCTGCTGCTGCAGGGTATACCCAATGCTTCCTCGTGATTTAAGTGAAGGTGTCTGTTCTTTACTCCCTTTTTCTCCTCGTCTTTGTCGTTCTGTTTTTTGTCGTCTTTCTTATACAACTAATATTATACAAGCAGGACTATCACCTACTATTATTCAATCCGCGTATGTTCCTGCTGCTGCTGCTGCTGCTGCTGCGGGTGCTGATGCTGCTGCGGGTGCTGATGCTGCTGCGGGTGCTGGTGCTGCTGCGGGTGCTGCTGTTGCTGCTGCTGATGCTGTTGTGGCTCTTAGTGCTGCTGCTGCTGTTGGTGCCGCTGTCGCTGCTGAGGCAGCTCCCCTGGCTGCGGCGGCGGCGGCATCTTGCTGTTGCAGTAGCCACAGCTTGAAGGACGCTGGCTGCTGCTGCTAGCCTTGACGCTGCTTGCACCTAAGCAGCACAGTTTTCGTGTTGTTGATCTCTGCTGGTTCCATAGCAGGAGGGAAGGAGCAGAAAGAGCAGCTGCAGCAGCAACAACAGCAGCACCAGTAGTACAACAAGCTGCAGGTCCCAATACTCTTAAGTGTGCGTGTTGCTGCTGCTGCTGCTGCAGAGCGCGACTAACCTACTCTCAAGTTGACGAGTTCTTGGAGTCCCTTAGCTGCTGCATGCAGCAGCACCATTCGCGGTTGCTTCTAACGGAGCAGCAGCAGCGGCAGCTGCCGCAGACACAACAATCCCCGTTGGTGTCTCCTCAGCTGCTGCGCCTTCTCTCTGCGAGGAACCTGCAGCAGCTTATAGCCTCCCATCAGCAGCACCACCAACAGCTGCAGCAACAGCTGCAGCAGCAGCAGCAGCAGGGTGAAGCTAACCGCACTGTTGAGTTGCTGCAGTTGCTGCTGCAGCAACTCGAAAGAGAGCAGCAAGAGGCGAACTTTAGTCTTATGGAGGTAGCAGACGTCATAGGCATAGTGCGCGAAGAAGCAGCAAAGCATGATATACCAGGTAGGCAGTCCCGCTGCTACTGCTGCTGCTGCTGCATGTGCTGCTGCTTGTTCTGATGCTGCTGATGTTAATGCTGGTGCTGTCGTTGCTGTTTCTTGCGTTATTCATGCTGCTGCTGCTCCTGTCATGTTGTGGTTAATGCTACTGCTCCCGGCAGTGCTGGTGCTGTTGCTGCTGCTGATGAGTTGCTGCATGTGCTGCCGCTGTTGTAAATCTATAGGCGGTGTGGCAGAGGACGTGCTGCTGCTGCACCACCTGGCAGCAAGACGGGGATCGGTGCGCTGCAGCAGCGGCAGTTTGCAGCTGAATTCTGCTGCTGGCTGGAGTGTCTCCTTCGAAAAGGTCACAGACAACAGCAGCAGCAGCAACAGTAGCAGCAGCAGCAGCAGCAGTGGGCCGCTGCGACTGAGAATTGTTAGGGAGCAGAGGCCGTGGGCTCATTCAATGGTGGAGGAATCGATGGTCCTTGCTAACCACATTGTTGCTGCTCACATTGTAAATGAAAACAGGAAAGCAGTAGCAGTAGCAGCAGCTAATGCAGCAGCAGCAGGAGGAGCAGCAGGAGAGGCAACTCCAGAAGGTGCAGCTCCAGCAGCAACAGGAGCAACTGCCGCCCAAGGAATAGTTACTTCTCCTGCTGCTGCACCAGGCCAGCCTAGCATTGAGGGAGGATCCGTTGTTGCTGCACAGCTACCAGCAGAAGCACCACCAGCAGCAGCAGCGACAGCAGCAGCAGCAGGCCCCGCTGCTTCTCCCTTGGTATTTGGGGGTGTCGTACGAAGACACGGTAACAGCAACGCTCAAGCTACTCGTCGAGTGCTGCAGCTAATTGGCCCTTCTCTTGCAAGAGAATTCCGTGCATATGTACACTCCAGAAAGCAGCAGCAGCAACAACAGCAGCAGCAACAGCAGCAGCAACAACAACAGCAGCAGCAGCAGGATGGAACGGCACTGGCTGCACCTGCTGAAAATACAGCGGGAAAAGACGCACAAGAGCTGCGTGTAAATACCAGTGGCTGCTTGAGCACCACTGTCTCAGAAGCAGAAGCAGCAGCAACAGCAGCAGCAACAGCAGCGACAACAGGGGAAGCAAAAGCAGCAGCAATAGCTTCTCCTGCTGCTGCTGATGATGATGAGGATGATGACTGCAGCGAACCTGCATTAGGGGAATTGTTGAATTTCTGTGCATCGCGAATGCCCCCTCATGCCTTTGAAGTGAGGCTTTGCTGCCTTAGCTGCTGTTGCTGCTGCTGCTGCTGCTGTTGCTGTTGTTGCTGCTGGTTCGGGTGTTGTAGCCGTTGCTGCAGGTTCCGTCGTTGCCGTTGCTGTTAGGGAGTGTGACTCCTTGCTATCGGTTTGCTTCGCTGCAGCGGCTGCTGCTGTTGGGGCCATACTACTAGGTTGTTGCTGCTGCTGCTGCTTGCTGCTCCTACTACGACTTGCTGTTGCCTGTGCTGTTCTCTGATTAGGCCCTTTGCTTCGCCTGCTTGAAGGATTTGCTGCCAGCAGAGTATGTGCCTAGCCATAGGGTTGTTGAGTCAGCAGCAAACCCATCTGCTGCTGTTGCTGCTGGGGATGATAGCAGCAGCACGAGCAGCAACGACAGCAGCAGCAGCAACAGCACAGATAAGGACCCCTCATGCGAATTAGCTTCATGCATATCTCCGTCATTGCCGAGCTCAACTCTCAACTCAGACGCGCCCTTGTCTGCTGCGTAGGTTGTTGCTGCAGTTCCTGCTGCTGCTTCTGTTGTTGCTGCTGCTGCTACTGCTGCAGTTGGTTGGGCGTTTTATGCGCCACCGTTCCTCTTATGAATTCAGCGTCATTGCAGTAGTTGCTGCATGCAATTGGTACCTTTGTTGGGGCTACTGTTACTGTTGCTGCTACTGCTACTGCTGCTGTTGCTGCTGCTGCTGCTGCTGCTGCTGCTGCTGCTGCTGCAGACATTGGGGCCTTGCTCTTCCTGTTTATCTTCACTTCACATCTCCTATTCGCCGTTATGCGGATATTTTGGTCCATCGAATTCTTCAGTCGCCAAGCATGACGGCATCCTTAGCCGATTTAGAAGTAATGCTTCTGCTGCTGCTGCTGCTGCCTTGTTGTTGCTGCAGCTGCTTCAGCTGATGCTGCTTCTCTTGCAGCGGCAGATGCTGCTGCTGCTGCTACGTTGCTGGTGCTGTTTCTGGTGGTGTTCTTCTTGCAGATGCCACTTTGCCTGTGTTACTGTCATACTTGCTGCTGCTGTTGCTGCTGCTGCTGTTGCTGCTTCTGCTGCTGTTTGACTGTCCTATATTATTTCTTTCTTGTATCTGCTGCAGGCGATCTGTAATCACTGCAACCGCAGCAAACGTCGCGCTGATGATGCACAATTATCTTTTTCTTCATGGTACTTTAATCGTTTTCTTAAGGCTGCACATCCTAAGGGACTTCCTTATGGTTATGCTTCTATTGTACATATTCATGTACCCAACAGTCGAGCTCCTGCTGCACGTGTTGCAGAAGCAGCAGTAGTAGCAGGAGGAGCGAAGGCTACAACAGAAACCGCAGCAGCAGGAAACGCAGCAACACCGGCAGTAGCAGCAGCAGGAAACGCAGCAGCAGCAACTTCTGAAAAGTTGCCAGGAAAACTTACCACAAACCCTCCCCAGCACGACTCCCCATCAGGAGATGGGTGCTGCCCCTCCACAGCAGCAGCAGCAGCAGCAGCGGCAGCAGCAGCTGCTGCTGCTGATGAAGAAGTCCCCACACAGCCGGCGCTGCAGCTCTTTGTGCCTCTTCTGAGGCAGGCGCGCAGCTGCAGCCTTGCTACCCTAGGATTGGAGCTGGTCTCATGGAAGGAAGAGGAGGCCCCTGCTGCTGCTGCTGCTGCTGCAGCAGCAGACCACCCGTCTTCAGTGTCCAGTGGAGGCAGTTGCATTCGTTCGATCCGCGTGCGTAGACTGGGGAAGCCAGCGGAGTCTTCATCACCGCAGCAGCAGCAGCAGCAGCATGATCCTGATCATGATCAGCAGGAGCAACACCAGCAGCAGCAGCAGCAGCAAGAGATGCTGCTGCATGGTGATGATGATTGCTCCTTTGTACAAGTAGATAAGGAGACAGCAGCAATGCTGCGTGGCCCTTCATGCAGTATTAGCGGATTAAGAGAAGGTGAAGAAGCAAATCTTTATTTATTTAATGACCTTCGTGTGCTGCTGCTGCCAGGGGAGAGACAGTGGTCTCTTAGACTATGCTTTGATCATTAAGTTGCTGCTGCTTCTGCAGCAGCAGCTGCTGCTGCTGCTTTCTCCTCGCTGCTGCAGCTTTTTTTGATACCTTTTTTGCTACTCTCTCCTTCTTCTTGTTGCCTATCTCTGTCTCGCTGCTGCTCTTGTCGATGTTTGCTGCTGTCTCCGTCTCCTTTGCTGCTACTTCGTGTGTCTCTTCTGTTCTGCTGTCTCTGTCTCTTTTGCTGCTGTTTCTTGTGTCTCTCCTTTTGCTGATGTCTCTCTATCCTGCTGCTGCTCCTTGTGTCCCTTTTCTGCTGCTGTCTCTGTTTATTCCCCTCTTGTGGGGTGTGGGGAGGAGGGTTATTTATTAACAAATAAAAAGGCTTAATATTTATTTATTAATAAAAATTATTTGTTTTTTATTTATAAGGAATAAAATAAATAATCTTATTAATTAATAAGTATATTTATTGATTTATATCATTTGTTCTATTAATTAAGAGATAAACTAGTAATTAATATAGAGACGATAAGTAAGTAGATAAATACATAAAGTAAATAAATAAATAAATAAATAGAGATAATGCATGCAGCCCTTTCCTCCTTCGCGTGCTCTCAACAGTCTACATCTGAGGACTGCTGCTGATGACAGCAGCATTATCTACAGCAGCAGCAGTTGCTGTTGCAGTAGCAGTTGTTGCTGCAGAAGCTACTGCTGCAGTTAGTGCAGAGTACCTAAAAGCAGCAGCAATGCTTCTACAACATCAGTTGTTGCAGCAACAGCAGCAGCTGTTGGTGAGGAGCAGCAGAAGCAGACGCAGCAGCAGCGAGAAAAACAGCAGCATTAAAGGCATGGTTGCCGCTGTAGCGGCGTCTACAGCAGCATCAACAACAGCATCAACTAGATCGGTTGCAGCCCGTGTAGCAACAGCAGCAACAGGGCATGTGGCCGAAGCATTTGTAGCGGCTGCTGCTGCTGTCGCCGCAGCAGCAGCTGATGGCCTATAGGGGTATGCGCACACAACGTACTGTAAATATGCATCGTACATACACCCCAATCTCTTTCAACGTCAGCAGCAGGCAGATCGCGAAGCACACAATGGAATGTATGTGCAACCCAAAGGCAGCAGCAGCAGCAGCAGCAGAAACAGCGACTGGTTTCTATTGGAAGCCGTTTTACTTTAGTTTATTAAAAAAAATGGGAAATGTATATTATACTGGCATTTGCTGCTACTTCAGCACTTGCTGCAGCAGCTGCTGCTGCTGCAGCAACAGCAGCCCCAATTGTTGAGTTAACCCCCCAGAACATTCGCTCTTTGCTTACTACTGACGCCTTTTCCCTTTGTTGTTGGCTTAGCGATTTAATCATATTTGTTGTTTTATATTTAACTGCTGCAGCAAAACACTGAACAGGGGGAGTCGCCTCAACAAACTTCAGCAACAGCACCAGCAGCAACAGCAACAGGGGAAGCTGTTAATGTGTTGGGTGTTGCTGACGCTGCAGCTGCAGCAGGACCTTCTAAACGTTACACATTAATTAAATATCTGTTTTCCCCCAAGAATCCTTACTTGGAATCAAAAGTACGGCAGCAGCAGAAGCAGCAACAGCAGCAGCAGCAGCCAAACAAGCAGGGCACAGGTCACGATATCAACAGGAGCATGCAGTTCGAGGCGTTGTTGCTGCTGCACCAGCAGCTGCAGCGGGACAACCAACAGGAGCAGCTTCCAGCGCAGCGGCAGCTGAAGCCTTGAAGCCCAAAGCAGCATCCAGGCAGCAGCAACAACAACAACAACAGCAGCAGCAGCAACAACAGCAACGAAAGCAACAACAGCAGCAACATGCCGTCGTCTCAGAAGCGCGGTTTATCCCCCATTATAGATGCAGTCCCTCCACACCCGAGTGTTGCTGCTGCGCCCCTCCCACAGGCGCTGCAGCAGCAGCAGCAACTGCAGCAACTGCAGCTGCAGCAGCAGCAGGCATCTGAGAGGCAGCTCAAGAGGCAGCGGCTACTTAGCTTAGAGGGTAGCTATCGAAGAGAGCGAACCCCTCCGTTCCAGCCTGTCTTGAAGCAGCAGCAGCTACTGCAGCAGCAACAGCTGCAGCAGCAACAGCTGCAGCAGCAACAAGGATCGGAGCAGCCACACTCTGTGCTCCCTCAGCTGCAGCAGCAACTGCAGGAGCAGCAGCAGCCATGTGCCTCCTCAGGCCGCAAACGTTTCTTTTCATCAGAGGCGCCTCTGCCTAAGTGCAGCCGCTTAAAGACAGCAGCAGCTGCAGCAGCAACAGCAACAGACCCAGTAGCAGTAGCGGCAGCAGTAGAAGCACCGACGCCAGCTCTAGGAGGAGCAGCAGAACCACCGTCAGCAGCAGCTCCAGCAGCAGCAGCAACAGCAGCAGCAGATGTGGGGCCCGCAGCTCCCCCTTCCCCAGCATCTTCTTGTGTAGCCCTTGTGCCTTATGTGGAGAACCCTCCATTTGAGCCCTTGCTGCGGCAGCTACAGCAGCAAGCTTTGCTGCTGCCGCCGCAGCAGCAAGAGCTGTTGCTGCAGAAGCCCGTGGACCCCATTGCTGCACTGGCAGAGCTTCAGCAGCAGGAGCAGCAGATTGACGGCCTAACTGCTGCAGCAGCACTGGGGAGGGATGGTTTGCTGCTACTCCCTGCAGCAGACGAAGACTCAGAAGATGAAGAGCTGGAGCAGCAACTGCAGCAGCAAGAGCAACTGCAGCAGCAAGACCAACTACAGCAGCAGCAGGAGAATCAGGAAGAGGACTCGCTGCTGCGCACCGCCTCCCAAACGTCGCAAGGAGCAATGAGTGTCGATTGAGTTGCAGTGTATGTAACGGCAAACTCAGCAGCAGCAGCAACAACAACAGCACCGGGCAACTTTTGCTGTTGCTGCTGCCGGAATATTATCAGCTGCTGCTGCTTCTGCGTGTAAGTGCCGTATTCTCAGTACATTTCTCTCTGCAGCGTCTGCTGCTGTTGCAGCTGCATAGTAGTGGAAAATGTGAGTTGTTAAGGTTTGCTGCTGTTGCTGCAGCAGCAGCAGCACAAGCAGCAGCAGCAGCACAAGCAGCAGCAGAAGCTGCAGCTGGCTGCCTCGTTCCCTGGATTACTTCCGGGGCCCTTGTGTTTTGACAGTGCAGCAGCGGCTGCGAACAGCAGAGGGAGCAAATGAGTGCATGCAGCTGTCACTCTAGCAGCAGAAGCATGTGTGCTGCTGCTGCTGCATGCAGCGTTCATGGAACGGGCGGCGCTGCTTCAGAGAATAACACGCAACTACGGAGGTGGCTGTACACCGTAAAGCCGGGTAGCCCACAAAGAGGGGAACAGCTCGTTGCTGCTGCAGCTGTTGCAGCAACCCTTACTGCTGCTCTGTTTTTTCGCTGCACCTGCTGCTAGTGGGGATGCTGCAGGCCCCGCAGCTGCAGGTGTTGCTGCGCTTGCTGCTGCTGCAGAGATGGACTGCAGCAGCTGCTGCTGCAACTTGTACGGGCCTAATGATCTAATATATTTCTTCCATGCGGGATGATGTTGCCGCCGCCGATGCTGCTGCATGTCGTGCTGCTGCTGCTGGTGCTGCTGCTGTGAGTGGCTGTTGTGCCGGTGTAGCCGTTGCGTCGTTGTTTCTGCTGCTGTACCGCTACCAATGCTCCGTTGGAGCCGAGGTCGTACAACTTTTCCCCATGCAACAGCTCCTGCTGCAGCTGTTGCAGCAGCAGCAGCTGCTGCTGGTCTATTCCTGCTGCTCCTGTAGAGCACTAAATATCTGTGCGACTAGCTGATCTGCCTGCTCTAAGTTTGCTTCCTGCACCTTCTTATCATGTGCCTGTTTAAAGGCAGCAACGAACCTGCAAAGATAAAACAGCAGGAGCAACAGCAGCAGCAACAGCAGAAATTCCACGACCAGCAGGAGCAGCAGCAGCAGGACAGACAGCAACGAGAAGAGAAGGTGCAGCAAACTCCTAGCAGCAAATGCACCTATCACGGCTGGCAAGTACACATGCAAATTCTCCGTATGCATGCATGCATATACACATGCATGCACACAACTGTCTTCTTCATGCTTACGCAGCATACTAGGCACACGTCGAATACGGTGGCGAAAGACACTGAGCCTGCAGTAGTAGTAGTGGTAGTAGTAGTAGTAGTAGTACTAGTGCTAGTTGTAGAAGCAACAGTAGCTGCAGCAGTGACAGCGGACAATATTTACCTTTTGGCCCTCTGTGGCCCCACGTCTACTGCTGCTGCCGTTTCCAGGTGCTGCCAGAAGTCGTCTGCCTGTTGAATGCGCTGCGCTACTTCCGCACAAACTGCAGCATCGACGATAGCTTGAGCAGCCGTGGGCTGCTGTTCTGCTGCTGTTGCTGCTGCTGTCTCTGCTGCACCCCTTGCTGCCGTGGAGGGCAACTGGCCCCAGGAGCTGTTGCTGTTCATGGTGAATCTCTGAATAGTTGCGCCTCCCGGCGGGAATTTCAACCTTTAGATGTAGCAGCTGCTGCTGTAGCAGCTGCTGCTGCCGCTGCTGCTGCTGCTGCTGCTGTTGTTGTTGTTGCTGAAGCGTGCAGTGGTATAAGAGGGACGTTTAGTGAGCCAGTTAAGAAAAGATTAAGAGCCGCAATGTAATTTATTAATTAAAGAGAATAGAACGGACTTATACCATCTAATGGGGGGAAGAGCAGCGGAGATGCAGCTGCGGCCCCTTTCGTTGTCTGCCACTGCGCTGCTGTCAATGCGCCTTTTGGTACTCTGCAACAGCAGCAGCTGTATGATGCTGCAGCATTGCTGCTTGGCGAAGGAGACAGCAATTAATGGTTTGTTTCTTTATCAGAAGATACAGTAGAGACGGATCTGTTCTACATCGCGGGGCCCCAAGGCGGTGCAACCGTGACCCCGCTGCTGCTGCTTCTGCTGCCGCTGCTGCTTCTGTCTGCTCTTGATGTCGCCGGTGTTGCCACTGGATTAGAGGCGATGGGGGCGGCAGCCGCAGCAGCAGAAGATCAGTAGAATGCGCCCACGAAGAGCTAGTGTGTACAGAGCACTTGAGCATCTGCAGCAGCAACGCAAGTGTAACCACCCTGAACTGGACAGCTGCTGCTGCGGCGCCGGCGGCGGCTGTTCCTGATGAGCGTGCGCATGTTTGAAGGTGCAATCGAAGTGTTTTTGGTTGCCGGTAGTGTCGTCGTGTGACACCGCCTATACACCAGCAGCAAGAGCAGCTATAGCAGCAACGATGCTAGCAGCAACAGTAGAAACAGAAGCTGTAGCAGCAGAAGCAGTAGCATCATAAGGAGCAGCCCACAGAGTACCTATTGTGTTGAAAAGGTCGCACAGTTGTTATAGACACTTCAGTGAGCTGCTGCTGCTTGACAGGCAGCAGCGGCTGCTGCTGCGCTTGCTCGGTTCGACAAATGACCTAAAATGAGAATTATGGCTGCGTGTACCTTATCGCGTGCAGCAGCAGCAAATAGACGTAGGTTCCTTCCCTCAGCTGCTCGCAACCAGAGTAGCAGCTGCACCAGGACGAACAGCTGCAGCAGTACAAGCAACAGCTGCTGCGACGACGGAAGAAAGAGGACAGCAGAGAGAAGCCCCTCCCTAGAACTGCTTCAGAAGGGAACTGCCCGTATACGGGCGCTGCTGCGCCGTGGCCGCAGAAGCAGAAGAGAAAAGTCTGCTGTTGCCGCCGTTCTTTCTGCTGCTGGGTGCCCTGCTACATCTCCCGCTGGTGCCTCTCCCACTGATATCCACAGCAACCGGCAAATTCCGTCTGAGGCAAGGCACTGCGAAGCGTCTCAGAAGCAGCAGCAGCAGCAGCAGCTAGTGGGGCCTTCGGAATCTGTACTCCATCTGCCTCTGAGACCACAGGCTCCCGAAACAGAGTCAGATGAAGAAGAGATTCCGAAGGCTCCACATGCTGCTGCTGCTACTGCTGCCAGCAGCTGCAGCAGCAGCAGCAACATGACCCACTCTACCTCCTCCCCCAGAACTCTCGATTCACAGAAGCCAATTGATGTAAATTCGCCATTGCAGATTCTTCCTGATGGAGGTTGTGTAATTGCTGCTGCTGCAGGTGTTGCTGCTGCTGCTGCTACTGTGGAGTCGCGGAATCTGTCTCCTCCTGCACTTGTTGATCTCAGTTGTCCGGCAGTTGTTAGCCCACTGTCGATTGAAGTGGGCTGCACTGCTGCAGAGCAGCAGAACCAGGAGCAGCAGAATCATCACCAGCAGGTCTTGCATACCATCTCTCTAAAGCATCAGAGAATCGAGGAAGAGCCACGCGAAGCTTCTGGCGTTGCAGTGACAGCACCGGCAGCTGTTCCGATTACTGCATCCGCTTGCGCCTTAGATGATGCTCCTCTTGCTCTTGATGATGCTGCTGCTTCTGCATCAACTACCTCCCCAGAAGCAAAGGTATGGACGCAGAATCTGTCCTGCTGCAACAAACCCGTACGAGGAAGTGGTGATAGCCAGGAAATGCAAGCTGCAGCTTCCGCATGGCCTGGTGGAGCAACAACCAAACAGATACAACAACAGCAGCAACGCAAAAATCAGCAACAGCCACAGCAGCACTACCAACAGCAGCAGCATCAAGAACAGCAACTACAGGAGCAGCACCAACAGCAACAAGAGCGCCAACAGCAAAAGCACCACCACCAACAACAAAACGAAAATTCGTCAGATATCGATGCTGCGTGTGAGTTGTTCTCTCCTCGGTGGCAGAAAGGAATGTGCAGCGGTAGCAGTCGCAGCAGCAGCAAAAGTCAACTTGAAAACAGCAACAGCAACGGCAGCAGTAACTACTGGGAAGGCAGGTGCGGGATTGCGGTACTGCAATTAAAGATTTGCATGCGCTTGCAAGAGCAGGCGCTGCTGTTGCAGCAGCTGGAAGAAAGATATTTGCTGAGGCAGCAGCTTCTCCTCGCCAACAGATACGCAAAAGGGCTGCGGTGTAGCTGCCACAGCAGCAACAGCTACAGCAAGAAAGACAAGAGGAACTCACCCATTCATGCAACTGATCCACACGTACCAGGAGTGTCCGCTAATGGCGGTGGAAGCAGCAGATCAAAAACGTTGCGGATATCCTTGCCTCAGTCGCCCCTGCTGCACCGGCAGTTGCAGACGCAGCAAAGGCAGGGCAAGAAACTATTGCAGGCGCTACAGCAGCTAGAGAGGGAGCAGATGCCAGACGATTTCGAATATAACAGATTGAGTAGCGGGGTCTGCACCAGCAGCCTTAACAGCAACAACAACCAACGCAAAATTCAAGAAGTAGCGGCCCACGGGGCTGCATGCACCGTGTCTCACCAGATGAATGCGCGGAACGTAGGGGGATCAGTAGCAGCAGCCGCAACAGCAGCAACACAAGCAGCAGCAGCAAAGCAAGATGAAGCAGCAGGAAGAGCTGCAATGCCAAGGGGTACGGTTGCAGCAGCACTTCCGTCACGCGTCGGTTTTCCTGCAGAAAAGGATACTTTAGCAGGGTCGGCAATCTGCACAAACCAGCAGCAGCAACAACAACACCAGCATCAGCAGCAGCACCATCTCAAGCAGCAGCTCCGGGACGAGGAGGTGTCCGCCACCGGTGAGCACCTGCAGCTTGCAATGGCACCACCTGAAGCTGCGACCACAGAAGCAGGAGCCTTTGTCCTGAGGCCTGGGTCACAACTTCCCACCGCTGGGTTCAGGGACGCAGCAGCTGCTACTGCTGGTGCTGGTGCAGCCACGACACAAGCAGATGGAACCGTTCGTTCCACGGAGCCTGTGGGCAACAGCAGCAGCCTCAGCAGCATCAGCATCAGACGCGGGGGCCCTGGTTGCGTCTGCCAGTGCCGCTGCGGGTCCCTTAGGCAGCGGCGAATGTTCGCACTTCCTGGAGAGACCCTGCAGGCAGCAGAAGCAGACACGGGTGTCAATGCAACAGCAACGGCTGCAGCAGCAGACCGCTCAAGCGAATTCGACCTGAAGCCCGTGCCGCACCACCGAGTAAAGTATCCGTGAAGTGCTGTTTCAGTTTTCTTGCAGCAGCAAAACCAGCAACAGCAGGAGTAGCGCCAGCAGCAGAGGCAGTAAACAATCGCTTGTATATGTACGTTTAAGACTCCCCCAGCATGTAGTGGTGAAGCTCTTTAGAAATTGTATGTGTGCTGCTGCATGTGTCCGTTTGCTGTCGCTTCTGTTGCTGCAGCGGGCGCTGCCCCAACCTCTCCATTCGCCCAAAAAGCCACAAACAGCAGGCCTTCTCTGGGGGCTGCTGCAGCACGAGTTGCAGCAGCAGCTGCAGCAGCAACAGCAGGCATTGCTTCAGGGAAACAACAGCTGCCGGACAGCAGCAGCAGCAGCAGCAGCAGCAGTCCAGCAGGCCCTTCACTTGGTTAAGAACGCTGAGCAGACTTTGCTGTGCTCCGCAGCAGCCCACCAGGTGCTACCCCAAGCTCTGGACAACAGAAACAGCGCCAACAGGGAAGCGCAACAGAAGGCGTGTGCTGCTGCTATTGCCGTTGCAGCTGGTGCGTCTGATGCTCCAAAGAAGGAGAGGCCGGAAGCCTGCCTTGATACGACAACAACAAGCGCAATACGCTGCCCCAAAAACAGCACAGAGAGCAACGGCGGCTGCAGTGAAATGCAGCCGATGCGACAGGAGTTGAACGGGGACGTTGGAGCTGCTTCTACTTGCAACTCAACTGTGGAGAAATTGGCACAGCAGCAGCTGCAGACCCACCATACATTCTCCATGGCCCCCGCAGCAACAGAGGGTGGTGCTCCTGCTGCTAGTGGTACTTTTGCTAGCCCTCCTGCTGCTGCTCTTGCAAGCACCCCTTGGCCACCGCAACGCAGCAAGGCGCGAAGCTGTGGCCCTAAGTGGTTTTTGTCAGAGCCCGCTGCACCCCAGCCTATGCCCTTAAGGAAATTTGGGGGTCCTTGTTTAGAACTGGACGCGAGCAGCGCTACAGAGGAGGCGTGTATGCACATCCGAGGTGCAGCGTTCCACAAGCACACGCGTGCTGCGCTGCCGAAACTCCACCCCGCAGCAGTAAATGCAGCAGCACCAGCAGCACCACCAGCAGCGCCTTCTCCTCCCGGCAGGCCAACGGCCCCTCACCATCAGCAAAGCCACCCCAAACTTACTGTCCCCGTTATGAACAGAATGGAAGATCATGCTTTCCAGAAGGATGCTGCTTGTGCTGGCGCTGTTGCTCCTGCTGCCGTTGCTCCTGCTGCTGCTCCTGCTGTTGCGCCTGCTGTTCCCCCGGCTGCTGAAGAATGTCCGGCTGAGCTGGCCGTCCACAGTGACATTTCATGCGGCACACTCCTCCCCAGCAGCAGCAACAGCAGAATCGGAAGCCTCATAGCCAGTAGTGTGACGGAAGTCCCCTCTCCCCTCCCTCACCTGCAGCAACAACTACTACTACAGGAGCAGCAGCATCAACAGCAGCAACATCAACAGCAGGAGTCGCAACACCAACAATACGGAAACCAGTGGCTGCCTGTCCGGCTACAGGAGCACAACCCCGCGCATTCGCTTCGAGTGATCCACAGGAAGCACCCCCAGCAGGAGCAATTGCTGCAACAGCAGTTGCAGCAGCAAATCGTGCAGGTGCGGCAACAAGACTTTCGGGGAGGGACAGCCCAAAGGGCTCCCGTGGAAAATACACAGCCGCTGTCCACAGAGACAAGGCCATCAGAACACTCGAAGCTCCAGGGAGATGAAACCCAACCGCAGCAGCAGCAAATCTTTCCGCCCCAACAGCAGCCTTACGGTGAACAGCAGCAACAACAGCAGCAGCAGCTCCAATGGCGAAGGCGAGCTCACGACCCGGCAAGGACCCTCGAAGCAGCTCCGGCGCAGCAACCGGCAAAGGCCGTTGTTGCTCTCAGAGCTGCAACAGGAATACATCAAGCACATCGCTTCTCGGTCGACTCTCCTCCTAGTAGAAGTCATGCTTGTTGCTTCTCTGGAGGCGGTACGCAGGCAGACGCACACACCAATACTGCTACGGGATGCCAACCCCAGCAATCCATCGAGCAAGGGAAGCAGCAACAGACACAGCAGAAGCAGCAAAGTCAGGACGAACTGTGGCGCTGCGTAGACCGCAATACAGAACGCCGGGAGAACAGGCTACTATGGCGCCCACAGACAAGCAACTACCAACCGCAGCAGCAAGCGCAGCAGCAGCACCAACAACAACAGCAACAACAAAGGATCTTCTGCGGAGAAAAAGCAACTTGCTACCGCCCAGCACTGCAGGCAGGACAAGTGCGAAGAGCATCAGCAATTACCGGAGCCCCCGACGTGATGGGCGCAAGCAGCCGGAGGAGGAGCAGCTGCAGCAGCATTCAAAGCAACACCAGCAAAAAGACAACAAAAAGAGAAAACATGGAGTCTGTCCATCCACGACTGAGAGAAACTGGCTATCTGTTTAGCAAGAAAGGGAGAAAAAGCCCCCCGCCTGCAACTGTTCCTGCTGCAGTATCTGCAGCAGCAGGTCGACAAGGAGAAATTTCGCTTGCAGCAACCCCAGGCAAAGGCGACGGACCAACAGGAATTCTGCGTAGAAAACGCAGGAGTTTGGCAGAGCGAGCGGCCGGAATTGCCAGGCATATAATCCGCGAGGAATTCTTTGGGGTAGGTGGCCTGTGAGATGATGCACATGTCTGGAGTTGATTTTGACTCTTCGATCTCATAGCCGCCCCAAAGCTAATGCCCTGAAGCAGACTCATGAGATGCATTCCACGGCCTTCATACATTCTTCTCTTGCACGGTCTGGCTTCACCCACAGTTTACAGCTGACAGTCCACTTCAAAGGCAAGACACACTCGCAGTCGTCCTCCTGAGGCTTCTACCAGCCACTTACCCCGAAACCCATAGGAGTAAATGTGGCTTCCAGAATGCGTCTGAGCTCAACGCATATGGATACCCTTCAAACAGCCTTCACGAAAGGCCAAGCAAACAATGAAAAGGCTCCCAAGGGGTCCCGAGGAGGTCATAAAGAGGCCCCCTACGGCCCCCGCGACAGCCCAAAAGGCGAGTCTATGCAGAACCCCAAGCGGGCCTCAGCAGGCTGCCAAACGGCCATCACTACACCCCCCAGGGGACCCCAGAAGGCCCCCAGAAGACCCCGCGATACTTCCGGACAGCTCTACAGAGGCTCCCAACCCCATAAAGGCGGCCCCTTGGTGGCGACTTGATGATGTTTTGTGGGCCGTCCAGGGGTCGACTGGAAGCCCCTCTAACACCACAGCCCCAACGACAGTCTGGGAATGGTCATCGGTAACCTTGCGGAGGTTCTGCCCGTGCAGAGGTAAAGTATTTGCATTGCCTGAGGGGACATCGCCGGCGGCCCCTTCACCCTGCAACTAAATGCACTTCACTCTTAGGCGAAAACACCAATGATGGGCATTTTTGAATGGCGCAACTACACAGAGAACCACTGAGAAAATGACTGTTTAAGCTGTAGTACGCCTCAACGTCTATTCAAAGATGTTTTTGCTTCCAAATGGGCTGCCATTGCCGTGTGAGCTCGTGGCACAATATTGTTTTTGGAGGCTGCACTGCACAACAGCGCACGAGATACGGAACCATTTTCTGGAGCCTCTCGCCCCACTGACCGGGCGTTGCATTCCTACCGACTGTGAATAGAACAGTTACCCTCGGTGGCTTTGAAGTACTAAAGTCCAAAATTCAGCGTAGTTTCGGTGACAGACTACCTGCAACCCAGGCGATGCCTTGTATTCTTTCAGCAGTGTGACATACCACAGAAAGCAGTTTCAACACCAGAGAGCATGCACTTTCTTTCCTGAAATGCATAATAAAACGCCAATAGGAGGGACTTGCCTTCCTTAGCAGCTTGTACTGAACTAATATCAGGCGTCAAGCATTGACAATACCGTTTCGTGTAGTTGTGTCACATGGTCCACCCATGACTTGTGTGCATCCTATTTTAAGAACGCTGTCGAGCTCTCGCCAGTAGCTGTTTTCCCACCTGCGCCTGCTGTCTAAATTGTTCCCATCAAAAACGAAAGCCTGTTAACGAGCATGACCCATAAAATCATTTTGAAATGCATTTCTCAACCTACCTACGAAGACGTTGTCCAAGTGTTGTTGCAGGAGACAGATAAAACAGCACCGCATCCCAACAGTAACACAAAACGAGACACGACCGAATCGAACTTTGAACCCAACAACCACGAGCATGTCTGTCCACCTCCACTGTATGTAACATGGCATTTTTGCCGGCACACCATAAGCTGAAGTTCGTGTGCTTGGGCCAGTTCCAACTGGTGACAGCCTTAAGCCGGGAGCTCTGCTTCAACTTCCTGGCGGTGTCTCTAAAGTACAGGACATCTCCTCCTTGTGACAAAAAGTGCACACTCCAGAGATAAAGCATCAGCTGACCGCCAACATCGTATGTGAGCTCAAAGCTGCAATCTCTGTAAATATTCTAGAGGGCTGAAGCCTCTTTAACGAGGCCTCAACCCTTTAGAATACTGTGAGCATTTTGAAATCCACCCTCAGATGTGCAGCATGTAGCAGATCGCCTGTGCAATTACCTGTTGCTAGACAGCCGCGTGCGTGCTTCCGCGTATTTCTGGCGAGCTATTAGTCTGAGGTGAGCGTTTTACATGCCTCCAACTCACTATGGCTGAACAGTGAATATTCTGCTCTTACGTCCTACGTTGGCAGAAAAGCTAGAAACCTTAATCCCGATCCTTGTGTCATATGAAAGTGCTCTAGATGCTTGAAGGCCGCGCAGCCCAACGTATTTCCGGTAGCTACAACAGAACCCAGCAGGTCGTAAGTGGTGAAGTTCTACAGCAGCCAATAGGGTCTTTCTGATGGGACGTCTCATGCTTTCTTCCTGTATTTGGCATCATCTTGCCTTCATGTTCACCTAGTTGGGCCCCTGATAGTCCAGACGGTAGTCGAAGAATCCAGGCGCTCCCCCTCCTGCAAGACTAAATCATTTGCTTACGGATGAACCACCATCATCACATTGAAGCAACAATCTGTTGAGCATGAGGGGGGAAGGCAGCCGATTGCTTAGGCAAATGTAAAAGGGATTGCGCGCGGGACGAATCCAGAACCATATTTCCCTATACGCGCCATCACGCTCGGCGATTCGTCAGCGGGCAGAGGCACTCAGCAAATACACAAGTCGCCTGTTTTAAAACAACTTCTCTCCCCTGTTCTCTTCCGATCACCAGGTCTTCGTACTTATCCATTTTTTGTGCGCCTCTCGCGTACACGCAATACTTTATAGGTGTGCAAGTCTCTTGAGTTCTTCATCGTGTGTACTTACGATTTGTCACTGAGCAAATGCCCTTAGAACGTTATCCACCAAGCTGCGAAAGCCTTGTCGGCTGCTCAACAGCCGCTGCCTGTTGATGGGCCTCAAAGGATGCCTCTCCATGCGGCACAATCAAGCCGCTGTGTTGCTGGTTCCAAGGTAGGTGGGTGGCTCTCTGTTGCTAAGGAAATTGGTCCCCTGCTGTTTTACGCCCAAGACAGCTGCTTGCTTCCATTATTAGAGAGAAACCAAATTCCCACGCAGCGGTTCTGCTGGCCGTATACTATATGATCGGCAGCAATAGAAGCATATATGCGAGGGCTTTAACCGATAGTCTCTACAAAAGTGTCGTATTTATTCGTCGGAGCCGTGGAACTTCTCATGACCACCTCCACGTTCCTCGGTCCACCGGTACCTTTCAGGCTTTCAAGCAGAATAGGCATCTGCGACTACAAGGTAACGAGTAGTTGGCCGACGGCTCTGTGGTTATTGCATTGTATGCATGAAGTTGGCACGTATTCTTTCCTCCGTGAAGTTGGTACGTGTTCTTTCTTCCATCTGCATGCGGGATGGCAACTGAAGGCAGGTGTGCTTCAAACAGTGTAAACAGTATTGGTGAAGGCAGTAGAGGTGGCTTCGGTATGGTTGCACGAAATACGGCACAGTGTACTTCAACACATTGCTGGCTTCCCACCTCCTCAAAATTATCCCCAGACGCTTACCAGGACCTCCAAGAGAACAAAACGCGGCTAAAAATTATTTTTATAATTAGCTTTTAGCTCAAGACTTTTGGTTCCTTCACAGCTCTTGAGCTGTTCCTACGCTGAGATCGGGGTCACCCAATGCCCGAGTATCTTGCGCATCTGCCGCAGAACGAGGCATCTAGTACTTCCAATCTAACTGCACATAAGCCTTGAAAACTGAATATATTTCGCAAAGGATTATTCCTTCTTTAAGCCAACGATTGTGGGCGGAATGCATCGCTCGTGTTCGCCACAAACACCGAACGTTAGCCTGCACACCACCAATGAAAGACCACTGATTCCGCTAGCAACGACATGCTGTGGCCTGAAAGGCCAACCATAAACTCGGAAAGAGTTTCACTTTAAGCCATTCCACAGTGTGGGATAGATACGAGCATTCTTGTTCGCGCTGTCCGAGGGGTTTAGCCACGGGCATGCTCGTTGACATTTCTCGCTAGTTTTATACAGTTTCTACGGGGGGTATTCTCAGTTCGTCACAAGTAAAACAAAGAGAAAGAGTAAGCATCTTTAATTGGCGCAGTCATTGACAGGTTGCGCTTACGCGCTTTCAAATCGAGACGGCAGGCCAATGGGCATGGAACGGTTCGTGCGGTGGGCAGGGGATGGGCCCAACTCAATTTCTAGAGCTATTTCCATCCCCCCTCACAAATTTGTATCTCTACTTCCTTTTTGCTAGTTTACGCGAGGTTATATGGCTTCTGGAACTCGTGCGTTCGCCCGAAAATACAACTAATCTAAGTGGCCTTTCCATCTATGGTGAACGGGCTTCTCTGCGACTTCACAGCAGTCGACAAGTTGTTCATTTTAATGTGAAATGCAAGTAGTTTCGTGGGTTGAGGAGCCAATGCCCCTAGATGGCCAGCGTAATGGTGCTGAGGTTTCTTCTACGTTGCCCCGAGACAAAGCTGAAGACGGCAATTACAGGATCATTTTCACTTCGAACATCCACGCGAGCCCCCCCCTGACTGTTAAAACATGTGCTGTGGCTACAGCACTTCTATTTTTTGTCTTGGTAGTCTACTCCTGTCTACTTCGAAAAGCCGTGGGGAAGCCACACCTTTCAGCCGTACGCCGGCTTGCTAGCAGTGATGTAGACGAGGATTGCGGTGAGTTATTTGCCTCGTACAACATTACGTCTAGCACAGGAGAGAGAGAAGAGCATCGCCTGACCCAGCCTCTGCTTGACAGCCCTGGCTTTGCCAGAGGAGTTGCACGAAAACGGGAGTACCCCAACTATAACCTGCATGGAAACGTGGAGCCAGCGAAGGGGCCTTCGGTGGAACGAAGGCCCTTTCAAACGGAGATTCCCACAGCAAGTTCCGATGGCGGCTTCAACCCTTCCTTTCACTTGCTTTCGGGGTGGCAGTCTCAACACCCACAAACGCCCACGCGCGTGCATGCGACCCAGAGCACTTCTGTTGCAGCTTCACATTCAGTTGCAGCCGATAGCATGACGGGAGGCAGCGAATACGTAGAACGAAGAGACTCAAATCCATGGATAGATCTGTACTTGGACGATGAAGTCGGCCTTGAAGAATGGTTCGTTGATCACATTCTGGACTCCTCCTGAACTCCGTTGGCACGACCGA